ACCCTTGAGTTGTATGTTTCCATATTTTTGTCGTTGTCCTCAATTTTCTTTTCTCCGGACTCGACCCTCTTAGTGAGTTCTTCAAGCATTTTCATAATCGCAGGGTCAGTCCCCGAGCCACTTTCACTGGGCCTCTCTAGCGCCGTTTCAGCACGCCGAGTGTTCACTGGTTCGACTATGTTTAGAGTTCTATTCTGACTCTGAAGTTGAGCGATGGAGACTTGATGAGCTTGCAACATCTCGAATATCACTTGGAGGCTAACTCCCCTTTTTCCATTTCTGGCGTTCCTTGGTCCCTTGGTCGGGCTTCCATGTGTGCATTCCTTCCAAGGTCTATGCCTGCATCTGTGTTTAGAGCATTATACGAACTGATATCAACTAGCTCCATATTTGGCACTCCCTCAGGATTTATGGGTGGTACATCGACCCCTATACCGTTGTTTTCTCCAAGTCCCTCACTGTCATGAACAGGTGCGTTTTGTATGCTAGACATATCTTAGCCTGAAATCAAAGAATCTTTGACAAGAAAAAGTGTGAAGAATAATGTGTGTTATTAGAAAACTAGCACTAAACTAATCACTATTATCTTTAGCCCCACGGTGGGCGCCAAACTGTTTACCTAGAAAAAGGTGAGTAATAACTAAAGATCATTTGTGGTTTTAAAGATATGTGATTTATTCCAATACTAGTGAATATACAAGTAATACTAGATTTAAGTAAGAAGAATTGATAAATCAAACCAGTATTGTTAGAGAAATAGGGACCTCGAGCTCGATTATCTCGGGGGCCTCAAAGTGAGTTAAGTGCAAGTAAAGTATGAACAATAAACTGATGATAATAAAGTTGAAGAACAATTGTGGAGCACAGTAAACGAGAAAAGCAAAGTAGAATGTTCTATTGTAGTGAATGAGATCCCTTTTACAAAGATTAGGGTCCCCTTTATATAGAAGGGGAAAACCCTAATATGGTACATTTCCAATTATGGTGAAGAATTCTATTGGTACAGTTGTATAACAACCTAGTACGAACTTGTACTATTTCGTACAAATCTTATCCCTTAATTTATACTCTGACCCACGTGTCCTTGAGAAATTTCCGCTCTTTCTTGAGTGTCATCGAAATTATACTTTCCTCGTGGGCCTCTGATCTGCTTCTCGAGGTACACCCATCCTGGCCAGGGTATGATCAAGTCTTCGATTCTTACTCCGAGTTTCCGAACTCGAACTCGAAGTATGATCAAGTCTTCGAAATCGAGCTCTCCGATTTAGATCGTATACAATATATTTTATTGATAGTAAGGTAAAGAACAACAACGAATTGCATTAGGGAAGCTATCAGAGAGATGTTAGGGGTAATGAAGGGTTATTCCAGAGGTCACAAATGGGACTGGTGGTGGAATGAGGAGGTACAAATAAAAGTGGAAGCTAAAAAAGCAGCATATCTGAAGCTAGTAGAGAGTACATATGAGGATGAAAAGAGGACATGTAAATGTTATAAGAAGGTAAGGAAAGAGGAAAAATTGGCAGTCACGGCGGCTAAGACTGCAGCTTTTGAGCGATTGTATGAGGATCTTGGGGGGTCTTCCTCACCTGTTCTAGTGATATAGGCCCATCCGGTCGAGAGAAGAGACTTGAGATTAGCCACTAAGTGAAGTACCAATGAGAGGATCAGCTTCAGCCATAACCAATACGGAGGGATTGACAGCCCCGCTGACCTTTTCTAAAAGCATCTTGGGTCGAAGGCTGGTTGTAAAGTAAAGAAAGGTGGTGCGCTTCGAATTTGAATTCTTTTGATAGAAAGAAGAACCCCGTCCCACGAGTGGAGGGAGGTCCTGGGTCGTATCATTTTTCAACTGTCCGTTGGTACTAAGGACGCTTTATCGAGACTTTTTCACTCATCCCTTTTGGTTTGGGGATGACAAGTACTTCGTCTCGAGTAGGACATCGGTGATCTCTACATTCACCTATGTAATTTTGAGAAGGTCCCTCAGTTCCTCGGCAGCACCTCGAGGTGAATTTAGTTATCTTACATGAGACGAGGGCTATTCCCCACTCCATGGCATGACACTTTTCGCTCATCCATTCTGCCAGTCCAGACGCAGCTTAAGATTGTCGAATCTAATCTAATTTCTATGACCTAACTTCTGCTATTTGAACCAGTTAAGTTGATTGCTGAACCTGACTTTACTTTGACATGTTGGCCTTTCCCTATATCTTAATTAATCGGATGAGTCAGTGTCTATCCTAAGGAGGTAACAGAAAGCTGTACTGGTTAGTCAAGAGAAGGGAAAAGAAGGTCCGTGACCTGGACCAAGTGCGGTGCATCAAAGATGGAGATGGTAAGGTTCTGGTGGAAGAGGCATGTATCAGGAGTATATGGCAGGAGTACTTCCATTGACTCTTGAACGAGGGAGGGGACAAGGACATCGTGCTAGGTCAGTTGGAAAACTCATGGAGTCAGAGGGATTTTGGGTAATGTAGGAGCAATGTAGAAGATGAACAGAGGTAAGGCAACTAGGCCTGACGAACTCATAGTGGAATTTTAGAAAGAAGTGGGTCGGGCTGGCTTGGAGTGGCTTACTAGTTTGTTTAATATCATTTTCAGGACGAAGAATATGCCTGAAGATTGGCGATGGAGTTTGATGATCCCGTTGTATAAGAACAAAGGTGATATACAGAATTGTAACAACTATAGGGGTATTAAGCTATTGAGTCATACTATGAAAGTTTGGGAGAGGGTGGTGGAAAGGAGGATGCGACGTAGTGTTACTATTTATGAGAAACAGTTTGGATTTATGTTTGGACGGTCTACTACAGAAGTCATTCACATTGTGAGGAGATTCGGAGCAGTATAGGAAGAGGACGAAGGACTTGCACATGGTATTCATTGACCTAGAGAAAGCCTACGATAAAGTACCAAGAGAGGTCCTATGGACATGTATGGAGGCTAGCATTGTCCTGGTAGCTACATTAGGGTGATTAAGGACATATACGAGGGAGTGAATTGGGTGAGAACTGCGAGAGTCGACTCAATCATTTCCCAGTGGAGATGGGGTTGCACTAGGGATCGGCTCTTAGCCCGTTTATGTTTGCCTTACTGTTAGATGTGCTGACCCGACACATACAATGGGAGATGCCATGGTGTATGTTTTTCGTTGATGACATAGTACTGATTGACGAGATGCGAGGCGGAGTTAACGCTAGGTTGGAAGTTTGGAGACAGACACTGGAGTCTAAAGGTTTCAAGTTGAGTAGGTCAAAAACTGAGTATTTAGAGTGCAAGTTTAGTGACGGGTTACATGAAGAAGGAGTGAAAGTGAAGATTGGTACTCAAGTCATCCCCAAAAGGGATAGTTTCAAGAATCTTGGGGCTATTATGCAAGGTAATGGGGAGATTGACGAGGATGTTACTCATCGCATTAGAGCAGGTGGATAAGATGGAGGCTCGCCTTAGGGGTTTTGTGTGATAAGAATGTACCACCCGGACTTAAGGGCAAGTTCTATAAAGTGGTGGTAGACCAGCTATGTTGTATGGGGCTGAGTGTTAGCATGTCAAGAAGTCCCATGTCCAGAAAATGAAAGTAGCGGAAATGAGGATGTTGAGATGGATGTGTGGACATACTAGGAAGGACAGAATTAGGAATGAAGTTATTAGGGACAAGGTAGGAGTGACATCTGTGGAGGACAAGTTACGGGAATCCAGGTTGAGATGGTTTGGGCATATGAAGAGGAAAGACATATATGCATCGGTTAGGAGGTGTGAGGGGTTGTCCATGGTGGATATGCGGAGGGGAAAGCCTAAGAAGTATTGGGAAGAGATTATTAAGCAGGACATGTCATTGTTTCAGCTTACCGAGGATATGACCCATGATAAGAAGGTGCGGAGGTCGAGGATTAGGGTTGTGATTGACAGTTAGTAGTGTGTTCCTCCTAGGCCTATCAGTAGTACTAAGAATAATTTTGTATTATCCTAGTTATGGTTCTTTATTATTACATGTTGTGTTCTTTATCAAAAAAATTATTTCATGTTGTGTTTGTTGTTGTGTCATTCATGCCTGTCACTATAATGCATTGTTGTCACCTTTGTTTACTACTTGGCTGCTTTATCTTATTTCTATTGTTCCTTGAGCCGAGGGTCTATCGAAATCAGCTTCCCTATCTTTATAAGGTAGGGTAAGGTATGTGTACACACTACCCACCCCAAACTCCATTTATGGGATTACAATGGATTTGTTGTTGTTATTGTTGATAATATAAAATGAATTATAATGCCAATGTCGGTGTTTACTTTGGAAAAAAATCTAATAAGATACGGATTAAACTTAGTTTATGTTTAATTCATCGCTTAACGACAAAAGAGTGAGCATGATAATTAGTAGAGACTAGAGAGCATGTAATGTTAACACGGGGGGATTTTAAAATTGATTGAAGGTTTAAATAATGCATTAGGAACAAGTGAACAACCTAGGTTTGGAGCTCTAGAGCTGTTGAGTGGGATCCACCATTACTAAAGAGAACTACAAAACAAGTACTGTAATCTTGGGCTAATTTCCTATTAGTAGTTCATTAGGTTGTTAATGAAATAATTTATCTTTCAGAACACTTAAATAATTAAAAACTTCTTAGGTGGTTTACGACTCGTGCGTTCTCTAACATTCTGCAATGCTTATATCAGGCTAACTATAGATATAAAATTATAAACCAACTAATAACATCTTTAAAATGGTGTACTTTCCTTTTTCTATTTTTTTTATAAAATTAAAGAACTCGTAGATCATCTACTCCTTCGGCAACTAAGCATATGACCAAATGTTTCATGAAGTGGGTGAAAATCACATGAGCTTAGAGTTCAAATTTCAAATACTAGGTTCTTTTTATTTGCTTAAGTTTTGAGGGAGAAAGCTACAGTATGAAAGTTGCTTTTTGAGAAGGGTGTTTTTTGGGACCTGGCCCAATATTGAACCCAAGTGTGAGGAAAATTGAAAGGAAAACCCAAGACAATAATGAAAGACTTCAAGCTCAAAATATATTAACAAAAAGCCCAATACATGCTGCTTTGATTTAGAATGTAAACTAGCTTCTATGTTGCTCGGACTCTCGTAAACTGTTGCTGGGTGCGTGTCGGATCCTCCAAAAATGCACTAATTTTGAAGGATCCGACACAGGTGCAGCAACATTTTTGAGAGTCCGCACAACATAAACTAGCTTTTACTGAGCCGATGGTCTATCGGAAACAGCCTCTTTACCTTCACAAGGTAGGGGGTAAGATCTGCGCACGCACTACCCTCCCCAGACTCCACTTGTAGGATTACACTAGGATTGTTGTTGTTGTAATCTTCAATATGACAAAGCAGCAGTCGAATATTCAACAATTTCAAGTAATTCAAAGGATACATGTATAAAGATCAGTCAGATGCATTCTCACTGTTAATTCTGATGCATGACAACGGTCCAGTCCTTATCATGTTAACCGTAATGATCTAAAGTGCCCTGTGTTTGAAAAATGCCCGTTGAATCGACTTTAGGGTGAAATGCAAGTTTATCCAATGATAAGAATATGGATGATCTGGCCAGGAGGAAGTTTAGAAGAAGGCAAAACAAGAACGAATTTAAGGCCAAGAACAACAGCCTGTATGTTACTATCTGTTATTCCAGTGACCGAGAGCATATGACACTTGAATTTAAGTTTTGTTGTTCAATCTGGTCAAGCAAGCAGAAAAATAGTTATAATTCAAGTCATTGAGGGAACAGAAAGCATGAAAAAAAAAAATTAAAAAAAAACTAAAAATAAAAAGAGGCACACAAGCATATAGACATAAATATCAAGAGTCAAATGCTTGAAAAAGAGCCATCTTGAATGCTATATTACTGATCAAAACACCATATATAAAAAAGAAGTAACTCATGAAATTGCAAACCCTTTGATTATCATGTTAACTAAAATAGCAATGCTTTTCACCTATCATAACTAGAAATGACTATCCAAATTCAGATTCGATACAAGTCCGCATTTGTTTCATCTTCCCAGGTCAAATGAAAATTAGTTTGAAGAGGTTTTCAAACATTATTATTCAGCTTCTATAGAAGACACTACTACATGATCGGTAACCTGTAATGGAAAAATCTAGCAAGTTTCCTCTCATTTTCATACAGTGATGCGCAGACACTATAGGTGTTCCATGATATAAGCAATTGAAGTATACGACTTTTTTTCCTGAATTAAAGCCAATCAATCTCAGGTTCTACCCACCCGTGGTGATGAAGGATTTGGGATTGACCCCTATCTTGTATATTAAGATCTAAAGTTGAATACATGAACAAGGGGGACATAATACCTCACCTCCTCAAAGCCTAAGTGAGAATCGGGCAAGCTTGTTCCTTACCTCCTCAAAGCCTAAGTGAGAATCGGACAGGCCCAGTTCTTTACAAAAAGTAAGCTTCCAAAAGTTAGATTTTAAACTAGTGTAACTAGCTAAATTACACCTATATTGAAGTGATGTGACTGGTGAGCCATGTAGCAATGTAAGTGTTCAGCATCTTACAGAACAATGAACATCATAGAAAATATAGTGTATTCTGAAACTATTAATGCACTCGATTGAGGAGACGAGGCAAACTTACACCTCATTTTCCAACATTTGAAGGCTGAAGTGGACGAGATTTGGACTGCAGTGATACTGATGAAACATTTTAAAGAGATTTTGATCAAAGAAATCGCGATATCTTCAAGAAACCAACAACAAACCCAGTGAAATCCCACTGTTATCTTCAAGAACCAAGAACTTTTAATCCATGATAAATCCTGGACTTTCTTGACCAACCTCCATGAAGTCCGGAACATATCCAGATGATCTTAACGCCTTCATCAATCCTCTCAAGGCTCCATATATCTCTTTTGACTTGGAATGCCTCTCGTCAAAGCAATAGAACTCAGACACTTCATCTTCAACCTCAATCAAGCTGCATCCTGGTACCTTCCGGGACCCAGTGTCCCGCATCGCCACTTTCAGCTCTGCCACATCTTTCCACCTCCGAGCATCACCGCAGATATTTGCAAGCATAACATAATTTGCAGGGTTTTTTGGGTCAAGCTCAATAAGTTTCTGAAGAGCCAGTCTTGCAAAGTCAATTTTCTTGTATATTCTACATGCTGCGAGTAAAGCAGTCCAAATGACAGCATCGGCTCGTACAGGCATCTTCTCCACAAAATTCACCGCCTGCTCCAAAAGACCAGCTCGTCCCAACAGATCAACCATGCAACCATAATGCTCAATTTGAGGCACGGTGGAATATTCATTCATCATCGAGTTAAAATAGGTAAAACCATCTGCAACTAAACCCATGTGAGAACACGCACATAACACACCAATAAAAGTAATTCCATCTGGTTTAACTCCAGAATTCTTCATCTCTGCAAACAAACTCAAGGCATCACTACCACAACCATGCACTGCTAAGCCATTAATGATGGTATTCCAGGAAATCAAATCTCTTTTATCCATGCTCCTAAACACATCAATTGCATGACCAACCACCCCACATTTTGCATACATATCAATCAACCCATTGGCAACATACACATTGTGCTTATAGCCGTTGCTCTCGGCATATATGTGCACCCACTTACCCAAATCAAGAGCACCTAATCCCGTGCAAGCAGACAACACATTCACAAGAGTGGCATCATTAGGCTGCACGTCAGACTCATTTAGCATCCTTTTAAAGGCATCAATAACCTCACTAAAATGTCCATTGTGAGCATAACCTCCAATCAAACCATTCCAGGAAAAAATATTTCTTTCTTGCATCACTTCGAAAAGTTTCTCACACCCCTCGACATCCCCACTATTAGCATATCCATTCAACAAAGTATTCCAGGACATTAAATCCTTATTTGGCATCACATCGAAAAGCTTTCTAGCCTCTACCATATCCCCACATTCAATGTATCCTGTAACCATCCTATTCCATAATACAACATCTCGCTCAGGCGCCAAGTCAAAAAGCATTCTTCCTGATGCCAAATCGCCATTCGCAACATATCCGTTGATCATAGAAGTCCATGTAAACACATTCCGTAAAACCATCTCATTAAACACCCTATAAGCGCATTTCACTCTTCCCACACCCGAATACATATCGATCAACGTAGTACCCACAAAACTATTACTCAAAAATCCAGCCTTTAGCACAACCGCATGCACTTCTTCCCCTTCTACCAAAGCCAACAACTTTACACAAGACTTCAAAACCATAGGAAAAGTAAAACAATTCGGCCTAACATCTTCGTCCATCATTCTCCGAAACAACACTACTACATCTCTGTACATATCATTCTGGAGATACCCTTTGAACATTATGTTAAAAGGAGAAGCATCTAACTCAGGAATTTGATCGAACACATGGTGGGTATAGGAAATATGCCTTAACTCCAAACATTTTGATAAAAGAGGAGGGATAATGTATTGGGTATAGCCAATACATTGAGTTATAATTTGTGTTTGAATCTGTTTGACTTGCTTTATAGTTTTACATGATTTTAAGAAAGTAATGAACTTTTCTTCAAGGAGTCTATGAGGAGTCTTTAAGGATATGTTTATAGCAATTTTAGCTATTTGGGAAGAAAAATACTTTGATGGGTGATGGGAAGGGCAAGCTTGACAGTGGCTAAACTTTAAATTATTTGCAACAGAGAGCTCAAAGCAACGGCAAACTAGGAGGAAAGGTAAGTTTGTTTCCTTATATTGGAGAGTATCTTTCAATATAGTCAATTACTTACTTTAGCAGAAAATGTATTCAATCTGACAAGTCAGTGGAATAGAAGCTGAGAAAGAATGGAATAGGAAAAATTTGTTTCCTCTGCCTTAGATCAATCAATCAAACACAATAGCAAATGAAAACCATGCAGGATACAGTAATGAATGATGAAGAGCCAGATCAATTACTTCACAGCGTAAACAAACCAAAGGAAGGGACGAACGGGAAAGATAGCTTCAAGGAAAAATTAATCTCCCCTGAAAACAACAGCACACCACTGGATTTTGAATGCGAGGCTTTCAATAATATATCTCTTGAAGATGAAACATAAATCTGGAAAAGCACCCTAACTTTATACACATTCCAGCACAAAATAAAGAAAGGCTATATCAACCATGGAAGCAATCTGTCATCAAAAAGCTTCTTGGGAAAGGACTAGGATATTGTTACTCATTGTATTGTATTATTATCCCAAAATAATGTTTTGATTGTTTCACTAAAATTAGTTTTATTGTATTGTTAAATTTATTGTTCCGTAATAATGAAAAGTTCCATATTTTGAAACAACCGATTTGGTGAGCTCAAATTATTTCCTATTTTTCTTTTCAATCATGCTCTAACTTATTACTCTATGATTCTATTTTACCATTTAGCTTTTTTTATTTTAACTCTAAGTGGCCGTTTGGACATAAAAATTGTAAAATTCCAAAACAGGGGTGAAAATATTTTTCAAGTGAAAATGGTATTTGAAATTTAGAGTTGTGTTTGGACGTGAATATAACTTTGGGTTGTTTTGAAGTTTTGTTAGTGATTTGAGTGAAAATTTTGAAAAATAACTTTTTGGAGTTTTTCAAATTTTCGAAAGTTTCCAAAATGCATCTTCAAGCGAAAATGGAAATTTTATGAACAAATATTGATTTCGAAAAAAAAGTAAAAAAAAAATTGACAAAAAGGGAAAAGAAAAAAATTTATGTCTAAACGGGCTCTAAATCTCCCACCTATAACCTACTTTGTCTTCGTCCCTTTTTTTTCAAAATTTCTGCCGCTTCCAACTCCAGCGTAAAATTGCTAAATTTGTTAGAATTTGCATGAATTTAATTACTCAATCTATTTACAAGACATATTTGGTGATAAATAGTAGAAAGGGGTTTTCTTAAATTATTTTTATGTGTAATTCTTGATAAATTTAATATTTAAATAATTTGGGGGTATTTTAGTAAACTTATCAATTACAGTACAGTACGATACAATCAAACCAAACATGCAAAATGCTATTTAACAACAGCAAACAATACAATCTATTCAAACGTTGTATTTATAAAACGATATAATACAACACAATACATTATAAAACGATGAGTAACAACCATCCAAACAAGTTGTAAGAGATAAAGTACACAGGCTATGGAGATTAGTAGAAGTCCTAAATTTAATGAACTTGGGGAATGATTTCAACCTCGTAAAGTTTACTTCACGAGAAATCTACAACAAAGCCCTACAGTAGGGGCCATGGTTCATTGGATCACAATACCTATCAATCCGACAAGGGGAGCCAAAGTTCAATCCATATGAAGCAAAATCAATCACAACTATCATATAGATACGCCTGCAAGACCTACCAACTGAATTTTACGACATAACGATTCTAAAAAGGATTAGCCAAATGTTAGGAACACTACGAAAAATCGATAACTGCACAACACAAGCAACTAGAGGACGATATGCAAGACTATGCATCCGGGCCCCAATAGGCAAAACACAACATCAGTGTTATTGGGAACCCACCTCCAGCAGATACAATATGAGGACACTAACCCCCTATTCACCCTATGTGGATGCTTAAGGCATAAACACAACCAATGTACAACGAAGATACAATCATAGGCAACCACGTCAAGAAATGGAGAAAGTATAAGCCAACCGGCCTATGAATGGCCTTGAAAAACAATTGTATACTCAAAGAGAAAAGAAAAAGAACATGTAAACACTCAAAACAAAATCCAGTACCAATTCCAGTACCAGTAGTTATTGCAGATGCAGGATTGGGCTTTCAAAGTAAGGAAGCCCAAAAGGAAAAAATAAGCAAAGACGAGGGGTATCTAACCAATACCATCATCAAAGAGGAAAGATCTATTGTCAAAACTGACGGAGGAATACACGGCAGCACTGGAGTAGATATCAAATCTATAGTACCAAGCACTCAGAAAACATAGATAGTACACACAATACCCACATACATCCTGTCTCCATTACACAACCACGTAACTCGAATTCCAACCATCAAGTGGAGCCTACACAACCACAAAAGGAGACCAAAATCACACTAGTCTAAAAGGGATCTACATCAATGCATGATGTGGCATGTGATGAAACACCTACATACCATGGGAAATACACTAAGAAAAAATCCTCTACATTCTTTATATACACGCATAACTCTTTCTCTATATTGTCAGATACACTAACTGACAACATCCTATACAAAACCTATGACAATACCAAAACAGGTAATGACTACACGAGTCCGGAACCAAAATGTGGTTTTTTTTACTTAAAATACGCAAATAAGTGTTAAAAAAAAAGTTACCAAACTATATATAACGCCACAAAAAGTGGCGCTATACAGTAACGGTAACTGCATCGTTACTGTATAGCGCCACTTTTGTGGCGTTATATATAGTAAAACTGACACATCTTACATAGTGTCACTATTAATGGCGCTATACCCCTTATTACCTGACCCCACCAATAATTTATGGGTTCAATAATTCAAAAGCATATAAAGCCACTTTTTGTGGCGCTATATACAAAAAAAAACCTCTCCGACTAGCCATTTCCTATATAAACATCGTAGAATCGCCACAACTTCATTCAAAAATTTTTTTTAACTCTTGTTGGTTTCAATTGTTGTTAAATTCTCCAGCATTTTTTCATTATGTCTGAAGAACGTAGAATAAGAGTATCATTATATTGGGGGGTGAGGTTGTGATGGAGAATAACTCTGTGGGCTACAGTTTACCTGCTAAGTGTAATGTTAAATTGCCACTTTCAATGGAGTACGAAACATTGATATCGTTGTTATGCAAAAAAATGAGTGTGAGAAAACGTTCAGTGATACTCAAAGTAACCGGAAGATATCCGTATTCCGTTACGCCGCAAGGGGTTGCTTTTTACTCAGAGTTTAACATCGACGATGATGACACTTTGAGTGATTTCTTGAGGACTCCGGACGAATGCCGGGAATTTCTTGTAATCACAATGTTGGAGATGTACGTGAAGGTCGAAGACGTTCCAAAAAATGAGGTTGTGCGTAGTAGAGATAACCCCCAGTCATCGGGTGGTTATTCTGGATCAGTTTTTGCCGGACATGTTCCGGATGAAAGATTTTTTCTTGATTTAAATTTATCACCGTCGGCGAATGAGCAGCGAGAAAATAATTTATACCCTGCTTTCCATAATTCACAAGAAGAGTGGTAAACTTCAATTTTCATTTGTGTTAATTATGTATATTTTTGGCGTATTGAATTAATTTTAACGCTCATTTATTTAATAGGGGGTACCGGCCGGATATGAATTTTACAAGTGGCCCATCCGGTAGTCATCACCTAACTGAAAACGTTCATCATGGAATGTCATCACATTACGACTTGTAAGTGAAATGATATAGCCATATATAAAGCATT